TTTTTTTAAGGTCGCCTTTTTACTGCTTGGTCATATAGCGACCACTGTGATTTTTGACACTGGTGTAACTGTAAGGGCACACGCAAACATCCATGCCCGGAGAGGGATTCGAACCTGCGACCCTTCTAGCCGAGACAGCCATGGTCCTTCAGCCTTAGCCACCTCGCCTATCAAGGTCGGCGAAGAATTCTTTGATGATCCGTTTTGCCACATAAAAGCTAAGGATCACTTCGATTTTAAATCAACCTCCAACTAGAAATTAATAAATATAATCACAAGAATGCTGTGAATTGATTTTGTATCAATCCCCTCCTCCCTTGTCACTCCTTTCACACTTGTGAGAAACCCTTTCCCCTAATTGCGTACGTACGAGTATTCCCTTTGAATGACCCCCTTTTTATTATGTACTATTGTATTAAACTTTTGAAAGTTGTCCGGCGGAAGAGCAGGTCAAATGGGGTGAGCCTCTCTACCAATAACATTTACTTAAAACATTTTTATAAACTTTAAAATAAAACCGTATTTATTATTTAATATTAAAAGGTAAGCATCAGAACAAACGCCAAGGATGTTTACGATATAACGAGAAAATTTGTAACAAATAGTTTTTTGTGAATGATAAAGTTCAAGAAAGACACTTTCCAATTTAATCGACACTCCCTTACAGTTAATAAATTTCAGTTTTCAAAGCTTTTCACAAAATTCACCATTAAACTCACAGACACAAAGCTTTGCACATTCCTTCAAGAAGTTCGCCTTCCATCGATTCGTTTTCAAATATAGAAATTTTATTTTAATGACAATGACAAAACAACTATTACTGTGACAAAACGTAGGTCATCACTCATCAATGGCCCCTTTCATTCCACAGAGAACTGATGTAATCAATTTTGCAAGTGGTCAAAAATTTCTTGGTCCTGGCCTTGAACGAGTATAAAGGACGTCTGAAGAACACTTTGAAACTCTTTCTGAAAGCATGTCACACAGGAGTGACATCGCTAAGCTTTTCTCCTACTTCCTTCGACGAAAGCTCTTACGTTGACAATGTGTCTCGGAAAGCTCAGTTTCTGAGCGCGGTACTGCGTTCCACTTGTATCTGCTTTACTAATAATGAAAGCGCTTATTGCAGTAAGTGGTGAGATAGCATTAACGTCCTAACCAGAATGTAGGAAGTTAATGCAATTATTGCTCTCTTATAAGTGAATAGATTACGAGAGCAATATACTTTCGATTCAAAATGTTTAATTTTACTCTCTATTGACATTTTGAAATCCGATTTATTATTTCATATTAATGGATAATTTCTTTTCTTCAGTACAGGAAATGGTATGAATTAATACATCTAAATTTGGGGCAATATCGGTCTAGTTACTTCTCCAAAATGCTGTCAACCCTTACTTTCAAATCTCACAACAGTTGCTACGGGTGCAACTTCCGAGTTGCCTTGCCGGTGACCTTGATATGGTTTGTTGATGGGGATGACGACGGGGGAAGGGGGGGGGGGTTCGAGTACGCACCTGGAAGGCCTGGCCCTCGGCGACGAGCGTGATGTCGAGCAGCAGGCCCCGGCATCGGAGGGCGTTGAGCCCGCCCAGCAGGGTGCCCGTGTGCGACGGCGACTCGAAGTGCACCGTGTTCAGCGGCCGGTCCTGCAGCCCCCACGCCTTCAGCCGCGCCATCTGCAAACGCAACACGCCCCCGATGAACGAACGCAGCCAAAACACGGCAATTTTAAAAAGTACAGAGGTATTAAGGCACACCTGTTGGGAGAAAAAGAATTGGATAGGATGAAAATATAACCGTGATGGGAAAATTAAGTGAAAGTAAACATTGTCTATGTGATAAGTACTATTAAAATTTGTTAATAACTTTTTGTCCATTATTTCATTTTACAATCTTATTAAAAATAAGTTTCCATATAACCCCGATCTTCACATTAAAATGTTTGGGTGTTATTTCATCATAATAAGATATTATTTCATCGTATATTACATCTTCATCATCAGTACACTTATCCTGGCAGCACGTCTTCGATACACACACATTCTATTTCCACCTGTGTGCCATCCTCTCGACGTTTTTTTTCTTAAGTTAACTGCAATCTTCGGCACTTTTAATTCAGTTTCAGATTTTTTTAACTACTAAATTGTAACCGATACTTTTTCTCGACATGCATGATGTACTTTTGAAGCAATTACAACGTACATTACTTGTTGAAAGCTTGTAAGAACTAGTTTCAAACTTCTACCTTCCATTTTGTACGCATACAATTTACTCGGAGATGAATTAGAATTTATTTTTCCATTTGCTTATCAAAATTCGTATATATGTCATATTTTGATCACGTAGTATGTCCCGTGTCATGCATTGCTTTACAACTAAATTTAATTTACGAAACATTTTTAATCAAATAAATTCAAGATAGAACAAGCAAAAAATCGTATCATGACTCCCATTAAAACCCTGTTCTCGACAAATTCAATAGGACAAAATTTTTACATATTTTTCTCAGAAATAATGAATAAATATCAGTAAAATGTATGAAAATTCGATTTAAGGAAATTGAATGAGATATATTCACTGCAACTAAGCTATTGACAAATTAAAACCCTAAATATTCACAAAACAAGTCGAAAAGCATCCTTTGATTCTACACGCGAAATTCCTAATCGAATGCTGGAATTGGCAATTAACTTTAAAACTGGTAAAAGTGTACTCGATACAAGGGGATGTTCCTTTTGTACTGGACCTTAGCGAAAACTCCCTCTCCACCGTTACACTTGTGGTGACACAATGGTGCTAAAAGTCGCATTGTGCCATTCCACACAACGAAGGGGCAATGCGTTTCAAGTAAGACCAGTTATCCAACCTACTCAGAGGGACAGGTTGTATGAACAACAAAGGGGCAGGCAAAACTTGCTCAAATGGTCGCACAGGTTTACGTTGACAATTACGAGTTAGTAAATCAGGAGACATGAAACACTGATATTAAAGAAAAAAATGCCAGGATTCGTGCGCGTTTCTCAGCAATATAATTTCTTGAAAGTCCCATCTGAATTAAAAACATGACATTCATTTCATTATTTATACTAGAGATGTGCAAAAAATCTATATTTTACCGCCTATACATAGGATATTGAAGCGATGTGACATTATACCGATATTAAGAACATAGTATCAAGAGACGATATATTTTTTGAGGGTTGGAGAGGTGTCATTTGGCGATAAAATTAGAGTGAGTTAGTCTTTTTAAACAATAGTTAAGTTAACTATAAACAAAAATGGCATGTATTGATATTTCAGCCGGCAAGGTGAATATGGTCTAGAAGGTATCTAGGGCGAGGGGCTACCTTATTGTTCCTATCTGTTGAGTTTTGTCAGTAAGACTGTTTAATTACCATTTTGACAATAATTATGAACAAATTGCAACACATACAGTTTCTGGGCCAATGAGCCCCATATCGATCTTGTTTTTTGTCCAGTTTTCCTAATCCTTCGAGCGAATGCTGAGAAGACCCCTTGTTTTGCTGTTGGACATATGTGTAACTTCATTACCTGCGCACGTGTTCTAAAGTTCAGTGGAAAGAATAGTTATTCAAGTCGCAGCAGAAGTCGATTCCTTCACGAAGGGCACGATGAGGGATAAGAACCCAAATCCATAGCTGATTTCCCCCTTAGCAAATATATTTTATTACACTGTAGCGCAAATTTTCTTATCAATTCTTGACAAAAAAGGCTCATTTCTCTCTGTATTCAATATTTAACTTGAATATGGCTCAGATTAGGGATCCCCGAATTAAGAAAATATGCACAGATTACGAATCATACACAGATTCCTGTAGACAAGTCACAAACAATCTTTACTGTTTTTGATGTAAAATAAATTAGTAAAGAGGAGCATAAATAATAAATTGTATTGTCACAGAAGACAGTAGTTGGTAAGCAAACTGGCGATCATATCAATGAAAGGATTATTTTAAAAACCTTTTTTGAGGGGATATAGGGAATACTGGTGATTCCAATTGCGTCAGTATTTTTTCTAAGGCAATGGATTTGGAATTCTGTGATAGCATGGAACAATCGAGTTACAAATTATTCGAGCAATAAATTATTGAAAATGTCTCGAAGACCTATTTTTTCTTTCTTAACCAGACCTGAATAAATCGATCCATCATATGTGCCCTGGTCGATTTTCGTACGTTTGGCTAAACAGCAGATAACATTATTGTAATTTAGCGCGAGCGTACGACATACCGTCGAAACCAATTGACAGTGAACACTTGCGGTGGCAATGAAGGGAAAAGTTTGTTAGGTGTCAAATTGCTAAAACATTTTTTATGATTTCCTCTCTCACTAAAACAATATTTATGTCTTGCGTTCACAATAATTTAATCAACTAAAACTTCAGAGAAAGTACTCCCTCTTCATATTCTTCTAGACATCAAATGGTATCAATTGTTTGTCGGATGTAAAAAGAAACCGCTGACCCTAGTTCAATAGAAGAAACTATTCTTAGTTCTTGTGCAAGTTCGCCCAAGCGAGACTTATAGGTGATGGAGTAGTTTATGTTTATTCTCCCCGAGTACAATTTACGGCAACAGAGATCTCGGTCCGGCGACCATAAACTCCCGCCTTTCCATCAGCCGGTGCGAGGCCACAACGCCACGGATCTCCAGACAAAGCGAGACTGCTTCGTCCGTGGCATTCCACTCCACAGCGACGCCCGATAGACGTTGAGTCACGACACAGCGCTCGCCTTTGACCCCTCGGTAGCAGCTGCACACAACAAAGGCAGTTTTTCGTTTGGTTTTGGAGATTATCAGGAAGTACTCCTATTAAAGGAAAAAATATGACAGTTCGGTCTTTCATGGAAATTTCTTTTTACAAGTAATGCTGAGTTTTGACACGCCTCGTTAGGTCTATTTGGATAGAAAGCGCCGTTTTCGAAATTGGTCGTATTTTGTGTCTTCTTGCTAAGGCTACACCGGCTGAGATGGGCATTTGTAGAAAATATGAAGCGGTCACAACGACATAATGGAAAATTAAGAAGGCAACTCAATCGAATTTCTTTCGAATCTTTGCCCTGAGGATTTGTCTGTCAGAGAATATATTACCTGAATGGAGTTCACTGCTCTCCACCAGCTGCAGAATTTTTCAAGTGACCTGACAATTGAATTTTTATTTCAATGTGAGTGTAATGTGCAAGTCTGACAATGTCAGCATTTCTTTTGTAATCCAGCACAATGGCGTTATTACGGAATCACGAAAACCACAATTCATGAGCGTCATCTACGTCGTCGTGACCCAAGAAATTTAAGATTTTCCTACACCATCGCTTCGCCTAACTGGACCTCCTCTCATGACGCAGGGCACCTCATCTACATGGAGTGTACATTTCCTCACCCGATTTGTGGTTCGTCACAACAGTATATAACGAAGGGTATTTTGGGTAAATGCAATTCAATTTTAACTTCAATAAGAGAGCATGATGAACTCCGGTCGGAAACTGGGAACATTTCTGCTCGAGATTCAGCTGTTTAATGTCCATGTATGTATTGTGAATTTTAGAGTCGAATTAATCCGACTTTTGCCAGTTAGCGGTGTTCCTAGGCCCGGTCCTGTTTTTACTTTCTTGTATACGTATTTTATTTTATTTTCCACGCCTGGTGGTAAGGGAAACATGTGGCAAGAATATCGTACTCCCATCTCCTTACCTAGCGTTCATGGACTATCTAAAATTTTTTTTTCGCCACATAGCACTAGAAACTGAGACGATTCATTAAAAGGTTGCAGCTGTCCATGAGCCGGCCGAAGGGCGGTGTTTCGTTTTTAAGAAAACATGAAAACTAAATAAGAAAAGGCTGGTATGAATGTCGTGAATGTTATGAAATAATGTTTTTCCTTCGTGATGAGACTCGAACTAACAGAACCTCTTCCTGTGACGCCGAGCCACTTCTCCGGGACGGAGTGCAGTGTGCTACTGCCCCACCGGACAGACTCCCTCTTCCGAGAACGCGGCGGGAGGAGACGCGGGCGACGCGACGGTGGCACTGCCTGGGCGCGCATTGCACGAAGCAGAGCGCGTGCATCAGGAGACACTAAGCAAAACAAGTGACTGCTCGAGACGGCACGCGTTAAAGGAGAGTTTTCAAACATGTGTCATCGAAAAAGATAACGTAGCGAATGTTTTATGATACTCACTTAACTGTGATTTAAAACGGATTTTTTTTCTCTGAAATATACATTTACAATATCAGTTTAAAACAAAATTACGTTGATAGTATTCTAATTTAATCATTAGTTTTATAAACAGGTCGAAATGTATCAACCCAAATGTCTATTTTAAGATTAATTTTGGGATAAATAATAAAAATTGTTATTTATTGCGTTAGCGCAGTTTAGACATGACTGTTAAATTCGAGTACATAATGTCATAACATTTTCAAAAAACTGTAAAAACGCATTACAATACGTTGGATTTAAGAGATACTCTAAACATATTATTATGAGTGATTTTTAGAGAATGTTCAAGGAAAAAGCCTTTTAAATACGTTAGTTCATATATTATTTGCAACGATTAGATTCGTATTTATTTGGAATATGTAATATTTTTACAATATTTACTTGTCAATGTGATAACCTCTCCAGACCATATGTGACTCCTATCGATCTGTGTCAA